ACATGTGTGTACTCACATAGTTGTGTATGCAGGGGTCGATTCATAGCTCCTGGCCCCTCCTTTTCGCTGGTCGCTACTAAATCCACTCCTCTGTGTGTGTGTGTGTGTGTGTGTGTGTGTGTGTGTGTGTGTGTGTGTGTGTGTGTGTGTGTGTGTGTGTGTATACACGCCCTGAGACATACGTTTGTGTATAACTTTTCTCTTATTTGCACACACACTGTTACCTGTCCCTGTATTTCTCCCTCCCCTCTCTCCATATCTCCCTCCTTCTTCTCTTTCTCTCTCTTCCTCCCTCCCTCTCTTTCCCTCTCTCCCCCTCCCTCTCTCTCCCTCCTCTCTCTCTCTCTATATATATATATCCCTCCCCCTCTCTCCCCCTCCTTCCCTCTAACAGCAACAGTCAACACAGGTACACAAACATCTGTGTGTACAGCAGAGACGACGCCTTCCATGGCACTTATTTATATCAGGGGACAGGTGTTATGGCAACTTTTGTGGACTATCGCTGTAATATGACAGGTGTTATGGCAACTTTTGTGGACTATCGCTGTAATATGACAGGTGTTATGGCAACTATTGTGGACTATCACTGTAATATGACAGGTGTTATGGCAACTATTGTGGACTATCACTGTAATATGACAGGTGTTATGGCAACTATTGTGGACTATCACTGTAATATGACAGGTGTTATGGCAACTATTGTGGACTATCACTGTAATATGACAGGTGTTATGGCAACTATTGTGGACTATCACTGTAATATGACAGGTGTTATGGACTATAATCAATAAATATGAATTGTGGACTATCACTGTAATATGACAGGTGTTATGGCAACTATTGTGGACTATCACTGTAATATGACAGGTGTTATGGCAACTATTGTGGACTATCACTGTAATATGACAGGTGTTATGGCAACTATTGTGGACTATCACTGTAATATGACAGGTGTTATGGCAACTATTGTGGACTATCACTGTAATATGACAGGTGTTATGGCAACTATTGTGGACTATCACTGTAATATGACAGGTGTTATGGCAACTATTGTGGACTATCACTGTAATATGACAGGTGTTATGGCAACTATTGTGGACTCATTTTTTTTGGGGGGGGAGTGTTGTAATGCATAATTTAAATGTTGCCATAGTTGTTAACATATTAACATGTTGCCAAGATTTTGAAGTTTAAAAATAAGTTGCCAATATCTGGTCATGGTTGCCATGGCAACTTCTCCGTTGCCAATATTTGTTCATGGTTGCCATGGCAACATCTCCGATGATTGCTCCCGGAACAAGTAATTAGAGTTTATTTATGATTATAACAATAATAATAATAATAATAATAATAATTATTATTATTATTATGATTATTATTATTATTGTTATTATTGGTATATTATTATTACTACTAGTACTACTTTTGGGGAGCGCTCAACCCGCACGGGTCCTACAGTTTCCGGGGTAATGGGGAAGCAAGTTGGGAGAGGATAATCTCCGGTTCCTTGGATCACAAGCCCTCACCGGCCCCCCAAAAAAGGCAGTGTTTGGCGGTATTATTATAGACAGTGTTGGAGACTGTTGTTGACAGTGTTGGAGACAGTGTTGTAGACAGCGTTGGAAACAGTGTTGTGGAGTGTTGTTGACAGTGTTGGAGACAGTGTTGAAGACAGTGTTGGGGACAGTGTTGGAGAAAGTGCTGTATATAGTGTTGGAGACAGTATTGTAGACAGTGCTGGACACAGTGTTGGAGACAGTGTTGTAGAAAGTTTTGCAGATAGTGTTGGAGACAGTGTTGTAGAAAGAGTTGAAGACAGTGTTGAAGACAGTGCTGGAGACAGTGTTGAAGACAGTGTTGGAGAAAGTGTTGAAGACAGTGTTGGAGACAGTGTTGAAGACAGTGTTGGAGACAGTGTTGACAGTGCTGGAGACAGTGTTGAAAACAGTGTTGGAGACAGTGTTGAGGACAGTGTTGGAGACAGTTTTGTTGATAGTGTTGGAGACAGTGTTAAAGACAGTGTTGGAGACAGTGTTGAAAACAGTGTTGGAGACAGTGTTGAAGACAGTGTTGGAGACAGTGTTGTTGATAGTGTTGGAGACAGTGTTGGAGGTAATAACGTTAATTCACTAACCTTAATTATTTAACATAATAAAGTATGGAATATTTATTTTTTACTGTCACATATATTTATGTTATTTATTACGGATATAAATACTCTCTCTCTCTCTCTCTCTCTCTCTTTTTCTCTCTCTCTCTCTCTCTCTCTCTCTCTCTCTCTCTCTCTCTCTCTCTCACAGCACCAGCTGACCGTCTCAGCGGAGGCTGAGGGGCAGTGTGCTCGAACCCATGTAGTGGTAAAGGTCATCGACACCAACGATCATGCTCCCGTCTTCCTTCAAGACTCTTACAAGGTCACAGTTGTTGAGGAGGATGACCGTGACCTTCCTGCCCCCCTGCTCAAGGTCAGTGTGTGTGTGTGTGTGTGTGTGTGTGTGTGTGTGTGTGTGTGTGTGTGTGTGTGTGTGTGTGTGTGTGTCTATGTTTTTCTAAGTATTCTAAGGATTGTTAAGCAATAATAACTTGTTTAAGCTAACGACATTAACTAGAATAAAACTCTAGTATAAGCTAACAGCTCTTAGCTTGTGAAATAAATGTGGGATCTCTCAGTTAGACAGATTTATCATCAGAAGTAAACACCAAATGAAGATAAAAGCTATCTCTTCCCTGTGGGTGGGTGACACTGCAGGTGGAGGCGCGTGATGTGGACCAGCTGGACGCCGGGAGGCTGCAGTACCAGCTGGTTGGTGACGGTGTGGACCACCTAGCTCCTGACGAAGTCTTCTTCAGTGTCCACCCTAGCACAGGCCTCCTCTACCAGCTGAGGGTAACTATCATACTGCCGGGAGTGACTGCCATGAACACAGTAACTGCCTAGCATGGGCCAGTGGGCCTGCTGCAGTGCTCCTTGGTGACTGCCATGAACACAGTAACTGCCTAGCATGGGCCAGTGGGCCTGCTGCAGTGCTCCTTGGTGACTGCCATGAACACAGTAACTGCTTAGCATGGGCCAGTGGGCCTGTTGCAGTGCTCCTTGGTGACTCCCATGAACACAGTAACTGCCTAGCATGGGCCAGTGGGCCTGTTGCAGTGCTCCTTGGTGACTCCCATGAACACAGTAACTGCCTAGCATGGGCCAGTGGGCCTGCTGCAGTGCTCCTTGGTGACTCCCATGAACACAGTAACTGCCTAGCATGGGCCAGTGGGCCTGTTGCAGTGCTCCTTGGTGACTCCAATGAACACAGTAACTGACTAGCATGGGCCAGTGGGCCTGTTGCAGTGCTCCTTGGTGACTCCCATGAACACAGTAACTGACTAGCATGAGCCAGCAGGCCTGCTGCAGTGCTCCTTGGTGACTGCCATGAACACAGTAACTGCCTAGCATGGGCCAGTGGGCCTGTTGCAGTGCTCCTTGGTGACTCCCATGAACACAGTAACTGCCTAGCATGGGCCAGTGGGCCTGTTGCAGTGCTCCTTGGTGACTCCCATGAACACAGTAACTGCCTAGCATGGGCCAGTGGGCCTGTTGCAGTGCTCCTTGGTGACTCCCATGAACACAGTAACTGACTAGCATGAGCCAGTGGGCCTGTTGCAGTGCTCCTTGGTGACTCCCATGAACACAGTAACTGACTAGCATGAGCCAGCAGGCCTGCTGCAGTGCTCCTTGGTGACTGCCATGAACACAGTAACTGCTTAGCATGGGCCAGTGGGCCTGCTGCAGTGCTCCTTGGTGACTGCCATGAACAAAGTAACTGCTAGCATGGGCCAGCAGGCCTATTGCAGTGCTCCTTGGTGACTGCTATGAACAAAGTAACTGCCTAGCATGGGCCAGTAGGCCTGCTGCAGTGCTCCTTCACTCTTATGCAAAACAACCACTGTATCAAGAACCTTAATAATGTCAGAGATCAAGACAGTGCTTAAAAAATTCACTATTTTGTTCACAGTGGTTGTTCTGCATATTGCCATACCACCTGTTTACAGGTGGTGTGGCAATATTGCATGTTCTTATGAATGTTAAGTGGAAACAGAACAGAAATGCATACGTTGCCACAGTTGTTTTTTGCCCATGACACTGTGCTTTTGGGAGATTCTGAAGAGAAGTTGCAAAGGTTGGTGGACGTATTTGGGAGGGCGTGTAAAGGAAGGAAATTAAAAGTAAAGAAAGGAAAGGAGAGAGGTGATATAACGAGGTTTATAACGTAGCACAAACTGGTGTCTAAAACTGACCCTAATGATAACATCAACATCACACATAACACAGTCTCTTGTACATCCCCTACCTATTTCAGCCTCTGGACCGTGACCCTCCGCATGGGAAAAGCATCTGGCGGGTCAGAGTACAAGTCCGTGATGGTCAGACTCACCAACACACCACAAGAGGTCACTCCAGGTCACCACCAGTTGGTCAGGAAGAAGAATGGCACCTCGGAAGTCACTCCTGGAAACACCGAGATGTTCTCAGAGACCGCCAGAGGGCAGTCAGTCAACAGGAACACCATCGACAACAACCACACAGCTTCTTCAGTGAACATGAACGGTATCATGAACCGAAGTCCTTGAATCATGAACAAGAACAGCACCAGAAGGAAAAGTGGTCTTTGTATCACCAAGAACAACAAGAACCTCTTCATAACGAGGAACTTTTACGTGACCAAACCAAGAAACAACCTCAGCCTCACCAAAGGTTCCGAAGTCACAGAGTAAGGGACCATCACCGCCAGAAACGAACCCTTAGGGACAGCCAGACACACAACCAGCAAGAGAACCATCAACCACAAGGAACCACCACCAAAGAAGAGAGAGAACTGAGTACTCTCACCACAGACTTCCACACACACACTGGAAGAACGACAGAAAAACAGAAGAGGAGAAAAAGAAGAGAGGGAGGAAGAGGAGGTGGCGGAAGAGGAAGAGCAGGAGAGGCGAATCGAGACACAATGGTAAGAATCTCAAAAAGAAAGGAAACGCACGATGATAAAACCACAAAGAGTGACATTCCCGACAACCGGAAAGTAATAAAACGAACTAAGCTAAACAGGAAGAGAGATTCCGCTAGCAAGACGCACTCTGGTCTGGGGAGAAGTTCCGCTAACAAGACGCATTCTGGTCTGGGGAGAAGTTCCGCTAGCAAGACGCACTCTGGTATGGGGAGTTCCGCTAGCAAGACGCACTCTGGTCTGGGGAGTTCCGCTAGCAAGACGCACTCTGGTCTGGGGAGAAGTTCCGCTAGCAAGACGCATTCTGGTCTGGGGAGAAGTTCCGCTAGCAAGACGCACTCTTGTCTGGGTAAGAGACATACGACAGGAAGGAACTATGAGATGCCGTCCAGAATAAGACATGATTACGACGCGCTAAAAGATACAACGCAGACGTCAGGATCTGGTCGCTACTATGAGCATCTGAGAGACGAAGTATACACACCGAGAAATAATAAAGGAGAAGGAATAGAAACACACAGTTCGGACACAGATGGTCACTCTCAGCGTCGACGTTCCCTCCTGGACAAAGCAATATCGCAGGAATTCCTGCCTCAATCAAATCAGGACCCCCAGGTCCGACGGACGTCAGCGAGGCATGCAACACGGGCGTCCATTGTTAGGACACCTGCAGGACCGCGTCGATGGACCGGGAACAGGGCGATAGAACCGGACGTCTACCTCAGACCGGGAGCAAAACATGCAGTCAGGAACCGTAGGATGCAGACTGGTCTCTCACACAGAAACAACAAACTGAAAGACTCGCGCTCACACACAAAAGAAAGACAAAAGCTACAGTTGGTGAACAGAATACAACAGCCCAACAACAACAGACTGGAACGTTTATTTCTCTTACACAAAGATAAACAGGATATACAGCGCAAGCAGGTACTGCAATCATTTCCACAGTCACTCGCACGACCTCTACTGTGTAAAACTTGCGAAGAAGTAAACAATGACCACGACAAAGATGGCGTCAATACGAAAGTATCTACAACATTGAAAACGACATTACCTGAAGGGCTCATTTCCAGGATTATACAGCTAACAGACGTCGGCCATAAACAACAAAAGGATGATGATCATGAAACAGAGATCATGAGGGTAAACAGTGAGTCTGAGGACAATAAAGGTAGATCATACCATAGCAACACAGTCCAGTGGAGGACTTCCTCCCAGGGGCCATCCAGACGTGACACTCTTGTCGATATGGACGATAATGTGCGACAACAGGTGGCACTCTGGCCGTCTGCCACTGACACCTGGCTCACTTCCAAGACCTCACCTGTCCCAGAGGTTATACAGGAATTCCTTTCATCTCCGACTCTCAAGCAAAACTCTTATGGTGACAGAGACGCCGAGCTGCAAGCACCGTGGAGGCAATCATTGAACAAAATATCGACTGAGGGAGAGATACAGTACCCCCCATATGGTGTACCTTCCTTGGCGGGAGAAGACGATGACGAGGCAGTAGAAGAGAAACTGCAAGAGGAGAAGAAACAGTGGTTTCACAAGTCAGGACAAAAAAGGATAGCTTGCAGGGTCTCGACCAAGTCGATAATCTTATTGGCAAAATATATACCTCCACGCACCGGGGAGGAAGTGAACCAGAGGACAGAGCAGATCAAACCAGCAGAGACACAGCTTCTTGGAACATCAGTCACATACACCAAGGAAGAATTCCGTCCGCCACCAATTCGTTAACCTCTGAGGACAAGTGCTCAGACGTTCCTGTGAAGTCAGAGGTTTCGTCTCGCTCCGAAAGATCCCTGATTCTTCCTTTGATGCCTGGCACTAGGAACCTGGAACCTGGGAGTGCCACTTTTCCCTCACACACCGCCTCCAGGGACACCAGCATCTCAGAAGATCTCCCTGAAGCCATTGATTCCACGATATCAGGAAGCTACAAAAGTCTCAAAGGCCGAAACGACAAATTTTGGGATGTAAGCGACATCTCCAGTGACTTCGACGACGCTCTTCACGAGGTAAACAAACTCTCCAGCAACGACGGTGACAAGTGCAACGACATCTCCCTCCAACACGACCTCCAAGAACCGCTTGGAGAACCACCTGGTGCTGGGGGTGGAGATCGCGTGCATATGGTGGAGACGGTGGTGATGGTGGTGGTAAAGGACATCAACGACAACGCTCCAGTCTTCCCCACCGCCACCATGTACGGAGAAGTGATGGAGAATGCACCTCGAGGTAAGTTCGAAAATATCTCGTTCCTTTCTTTTCCAATTCAGGCGAGTCCAGACAGGAAGCGAGTCCGTCTGGCGCTCGGCAGACGGAGGATCAAGCCTTCACTAACGTTAGTCTTGCGATGAATGACGCACATGGGTTCAGCCCTTGACATGAACTATTACTATAACTAATTATTATTATGATTACTATTATTATTATTATTATTATTATTATTAATTATTATTATTATTATTATAATTATTATTATTATTATTATTATTATTATTATTATTATTATTATTATTATTATTATTTAGAAAGTTGTGTGGACTGATGCTGCCGAGGTTTCTGTCACTATAATTGTGCTTATTACAATTTATCATCATTATCATTATTATCTCCGTTATTAGAATTCTAAATTATCATTACAAGACAACTAACTTAATATTTGATTCTCAGAACATGACTTTTTTGTATAACTCACACAACACAATAATATCACTTACACAACTCACACAACACAACAATCTCACTTACACAAACACACAACACAACAATCTCACTTACACAAATTCACACAACAAACAATCTCACTTACACAACTCAACACAGCACAACAATCTCATTTACACAACTCACACAACACAACAATCCACTTACACAACTCACACAACAAACAATCTCACTTACACAACTCACACAACACAACAATCTCACTTACACAACTCACACAACACAACAATCTCACTTACACAACTCACACAACACAACAATCTCACTTACACAACTCACACAACACAACAATCTCACTTACACAACTCACACAGCACAAAATCTCACTTACACAACTCACACAGCACAACAATCTCACTTACACAACTCACACAGCACAACAATCTCACTTACACAACTCACACAGCACAACAATCTCACACCAACTCACACAACACAACAATCTCACTTAGACAACTCACACAGCACAACAATTCTCACTTACACAACCCCACACAACACAACAATCTCACTTACACAACTCACACAGCACAACAATCTAACTTACACAACTAAACAACACCACAATCTCACTTACAAACTACACAGCACAACAATCTCACTTACCACAACACAACAATCTCACTTACACAACTCACACAACACAACAATCTCACTTACACAACTCACACAACACAACAATCTCACTTACACAACTCACACAGCACAACAATCTAACTTACACAACTCACACAGCACAATAATCTCACTTACACAACTCACACAGCACAATAATCTCACTTACACAACTCACACAGCACAATTATCTCACACAACTCACACAGCCAATAATCTCACTTACACAACTCACACAGCACAATAATCTCACTTACACAACCACACAGCACAACAATCTACCAAAAACTCACACAGCACAACAATCTCACTTACAAAACTCACACAGCACAACAATCTCACTTACACAACTCACACAGCACAATAATCTCACTACACAACTCACACAACACAATAATCTCACTTACACAACTCACACAGCACAACAATCTCACTTACACAACTCACACAACACAATAATCTCCTTACACAACTCACACAGCACAACAATCTCACACAAACTCACACAGCACAACAATCTCACTTACACAACTCACACAGCACAATAATCTCACTTACACAACTCACACAGCACAGCAATCTCACACAACTCACACAGCACAACAATCTCACTTACACAACTCACACAGCACAATAATCTCACTTACACAACTCACACAGCACAGCAATCTCACACAACTCACACAGCACAACAATCTCACTTACACAACTCACAAAAGCACAATAATCTCACTTACACAACTCACACAGCACAATAATCTCACTTACACAACTCACACAACACAATAATCTCACACAACTCACACAGCACAACAATCTCACTTACAAAACCCACAAAATCTCACTTACACAACTCACACAACACAATAAATCTCACTTACACAACTCACACAACACAATAATCTCACTTACACAACACAATAATCTCACTTACACAACTCACACAACACAATACACCTCACTTACCAAACAACTCACACGCACAATAATCTCGCTTACACAACTCACACAACACAATAACCTCACTTAACACAACCCACAACATAATCCTCACTTCACTACAAACTCACACAACACAATAACCTCACTACACAACTCACACTGCACAATAATCTCGCTTACACAACTCACACAACACAATAACCTCACTTACCAACAACTCACACACACAATAATCTCACTTCCACAACTCACACTGCACAATAACCTCACTTACACAACTCACCCAACCCACAACACAACAAAATCTCACTTCCCACAACTCACACGACTGCACAATAACCTCACTTCACAACTCACCACAACACAATAATCTCACTTCCACAACTCACAATGCACAATAACCTCACTTACACAAAACTCACACAACACAATAATCTCACTTCCACAACTCACACTGCACAATCACCTCACTTACCAATACAATAATCTCACTTACACAACTCACACAACACAATAACTCACTTACACAACTCACACTGCACAATAACCTCACTTACACAACTCACACTCCCACAATAACCTCACATACACAACACCAATAATCTCACTTACACAACTCACACTGCACAATAACCTCACATTACACAACTTACCACAACACAATAACCCTCACTTACACAACAAAATACTCCCCTTACACAACTCACACTGCACAATAACCTCACTTACCACAACACAATAATCTCCACTTACACAACTCACACTGCACAATAATCTCACTTACACAACTCACACTGCACAATAACCTCACTTACACAACTCACACAACACAATAATCTCACTTACACAACTCACCACAACACAAAAAACCTCACTTACACAACTCACACTGCACAATAACCTCACTTACACAACTCACACAACACAATAATCTCACTTCCACAACTCGTACAGCACAATAATCTCACTTACACAACTCACACAACACAATAATCTCACTTACACAACACAATAATCTCACTTACACAACTCACACAACACAATAACTCACTTCCACAACTCACACTGCACAATAACCTCACTTACACAACTCACACAACACAATAATCTCACTTCCACAACTCACACTGCACAATAACCTCACTTACACAACTCACACAACGCAATAATCTCACTTACACAACACAATAACCTCACTTACACAACTCACACTGCACAATAACCTCACTTACACAACACAATAACCTCACTTACACAACACACACAACGCAATAATCTCACTTCCACAACTCACACAACACATAATCTCACTTCCACAACTCACACAACACAATAATCTCACTTACACAACTCAAAACTGCACAATAACCTCACTTACACAACACAATAACCTCACTTACACAACTCACACAACGCAATAATCTCACTTACACAACTCACACAACACAAAAACCAACTTACACAACTCACACAACAGAATAACCTCACACAACTCACAACACAATAATCTCACTTACACAACTCCACACAACACAATAACCTCACACAACTCACAACACAATAATCTCACTTACACAACTCACATAGCACAATAACCTCACTTACACAACTCACACAACAGAATAACCTCACACAACTCACAACACAATAACCTCACTTACACAACTCACACAGCACAATAACCTCACTTACACAACTCACACAACAGAATAACCTCACACAACTCACAACACAATAACCTCACTTACACAACTCACACAAGCACAATAACCTCACTTACACAACTCACACAACAGAATAACCTCACACAACTCACAACACAATAACCTCACTTACACAACTCACAACACAATAATCTCACTTACACAACTCACACAGCACAATAATCTCACTTACACAACTCACACAACACAATAACCTCACTTACACAACTCACACAACACAACTTATCAACCTCACAACTTAAAAAGATTTAAGTTACGTTTGGCATAGCAAGAAATGTTTTCTTAAGTTTGGAATTAAATTATATTAGGAATTTGGAGACAAAGTTACGATAGTTGACTGCGGACAAGACTCCTTCTCTGTGTCTCCTTCCTTACTTACGAACTGTGTTGTTGTTTGTTTGTTTGTTGTGGTGTTGCGTGTTCTTGTGTTTGTGTCGTGTCTGTGTTGTGTATTGTTCGTGTTTTGTGTTCTGTATGTGTTGCGTTTGCGTTGTATACTGATGTGTATTTGTATTTTTTTTGTTTGTTTGTTTGTTTGTTTGTGTGTTGTGTGTGTGTGTGTCTGTGTGTGCGTATTCCCGTGTATTTATCGAGAGAGAGGAGAGAGAGAGAGAGAGAGAGAGAAAAGAGAGAGAGAGAGAGAGAGAGAGAGAGAGAGAGAAGGAGGAGAGAGGTTAGAGCAGGAGGGAGGACTACCAGTGACAGAGATGTGAGAGAGAGTTACTGGATGGGGTGAGATTCTGGAGGAACTAGGAGAGAGAGATAAAGAGAGAAGGAGAATAAAAGAGAGAGAGAAAGAAAGAAGAAAGAGAGCAAGGATGCGCTGGAAAATGAAACGTCCCGGGGATGGGTATGTTTAAGGATGTGCAGATTGGTAGACAAGGAATGCCGCCCCATAACATCAAATGTCAAACCTAAATAACATGAAAGCAGGAAGAGAAAGGAAGGTAAGCAAGCATGGAAAAAAGACACGGTTTAGGAACTTCAGGATTAAGAGAAGTGAAAGGTTAGACAAGACTGCCCGGGGTAATAACATCAATGATCACACTAAGGAAATCAAACTGATACACTGGAGAGCAGCACAGCAGGAACCGGGGACATGTAAGGAACATAGAAATTAGAGAAAGTGAAAGGTTTACAACAAGGGTGTCCAGAGAATGGGACATAGCAACAAGGTTAAGGGAAAAAGATGAAACTCGGAGGCCACAGAGGGGAAGTACATGAATAATGCTTCAATAGAGAGTTGTAGAAGTGGAAAGGAGTTTCCCGAAATAGGGACTAGCAAATGTACCCTTGCATAGCGTTAAGAAGATGAGAAAAGCCACAGGAGCAGGAAAACAGAGGAAAGTGGAAGAGCGGAACAGTGAGGAGGCGTGGACCACTAGCAAAGGGGCTATGAAAATCGACCCATGCAACCAATATAGGGTGGGAACCAACAGACCACACACGCACACACACAAAAACACACACACACACACACACACACAGACTCAGATGAATCAAAGGGATGTTAGGAAGTATTTCTTCAGTCATAGAGTAGTCAAGCCGTGGAATAGCCTAGAAAGTGAAGTAGTGGAGGCGGGAACCATACATAGTTTTAAGGCGAGGTATGATAAAGCTCATGGGGCAGGGAGAGAGAGGACCTAGTAGCAGTCAGTGAAGAGGCGGGGCCAGGAGCTATGAATCGACCCCTGCAACCACAAATAGGTGAGTACACACACACACACTGACACTGACACTGACACACACACACACACACACACACACACACACACACACACACACACACACACACACACACAAACACACACACACACACACACACAAAACACACACACACCACACACACACAAACACACACACACACACACACACACACACACACACACACACACAAACACACACACACACAAACACACACACACACACACACACACACACACACACACACACACACACACACAAACACACACACACACACACACACAAACACACACACACTGCCGTCTTAAAGGTATAATTTGTAAGTGTCAGAAACAGCTGTGGATCAGCTGTGCGTCAACGTTTATAAGTCTCGTTGCTTCTTGACGTTTAGACGCAAATATTTAGCGTTGTTGTTGTTGAAGAAAGACTTTAAAACTGACCTGCAACAACAACAACAACAATAACTATAAACAACAACAATAACAACAACAAAAATAACAACAGCAAAAAAATCCCATGGAAAAACATCTACTCTGGTTTCTACTCTTAAAAACATCTACTCTGGTTTCTACTCTTAAAAACATCTACTCTGGTTTCTACTCTTAAAAACATCTACTCTGGTTTCTACTCTTAAAAATATCTACTCTGGTTTCTACTCTTAAAAACATCTACTCTGGTTTCTACTCTTAAAAACATCTACTCTGGTTTCTACTCTTAAAAACATCTACTCTGGTTTCTACTCTTAAAAACATCTACTCTGGTTTCTACTCTTAAAAACATCTACTCTGGTTTCTACTCTTAAAAACATCTACTCTGGTTTCTACTCTTAAAAACATCTACTCTGGTTTCTACTCTTAAAAACATCTACTCTGGTTTCTACTCTTAAAAACATCTACTCTGGTTTCTACTCTTAAAAACATCTACTCTGGTTTCTACTCTTAAAAAACATCTACTCTGGTTTCTACTCTTAAAAACATCTACTCTGGTTTCTACTCTTAAAAACATCTACTCTGGTTTCTACTCTTAAAACATCTACTCTGGTTTTCTACTCTTAAAAAAATCTACTCTGGTTTCTACTCTTAAAAACATCTACTCTGGTTTCTACTCTTAAAAACATCTACTCTGGTTTCTACTCTTAAAAACATCTACACTGGTTTCTACTCTTAAAAACATCTACTCTGGTTTCTACTCTTAAAAACATCTACTCTGGTTTCTACTCTTAAAAACATCTACTCTGGTTTCTACTCTTAAAAACATCTACTCTGGTTTCTACTCTTAAAAACATCTACTCTGGTTTCTACTCTTAAAAAACATCTACTCTGGTTTCTACTCTTAAAAACATCTACTCTGGTTTCTACTCTTAAAAACATCTACTCTGGTTTCTACTCTTAAAACATCTACTCTGGTTTCTACTCTTAAAAACATCTACTCTGGTTTCTACTCTTAAAAACATCTACTCTGGTTTCTACTCTTAAAAACATCTACTCTGGTTTCTACTCTTAAAAACTCTACTCTGGTTTCTACTCTTAAAAACATCTACTCTGGTTTCTACTCTTAAAAACATCTACTCTGGTTTCTACTCTTAAAAACATCTACTCTGGTTTCTACTCTTAAAAACATTGTGTACGAGTTATTTGTGTTAGATATTTTGGTTAATAATACAGCGAGCTTCCTTGTACTCTCTTTTACTCCTTGTACTCTCTTGTACTTCACTGTACTCTATTGAACTTCTCTGTACTCTTCCCTGTACTCTGTGGTACTCCATAGGCCTGCCAGTGGCAGTGGTGTCAGCCTGGGACGCTGACGACCCTGACAGCAGGAACGCCCATCTCTCCTACGCTATAGAGAAGAACGTACTGGACGAACGTACAGGAGAGTCGCTGTTCACTGTGGACTCTGCTACTGGGGAGGTTAGAACGGCCCGCTGTTGTCTGGACCGGGAGACAACACCCCGGTACACCATCCAGGTGGTGGCCACAGATGGTGGAGGACTAAAAGGTGAGGGAGGGAGTGTGGGAGACAGAGGGAGGGAGAGAAAGGGAATGAGGGAGATAGAGGAGGGGAGGGAGGAAGGACATACAGATGAGATTTACTGCAATAGAATGAATAAGATTATTATTCCTTTTATCTCTCACTCTCTCACTCACTCTTTCTCTCTCTCACTCTCTCTCAGGTACAGGGACGGTGGTCGTACGACTGACGGACGATAACGACAACCGTCCCCGCTTAATGCGACGACTGTGGGAGGTGGAGGTGGAGGAGAGTTGGGGACCACCCCTCCAACACTCCCTCCAACACCACCATGGAACTGACGACCCACAAGTCCACAAAGAACAAACAATAGAAGGAGCAAGAGAAGAAGAGAGGTCAATCCTGGAATTGACCTTAGTTGACCCCGACACCCACAATCAATTTCTCTATAGGGTAAGTCTCTTTCTCTCTCTCTCTCTCTCTCTCTCTCCTAGTAGAGTATCTCTCCATCACTGTGAAAGAGACATTAGAGATAATACGTCTATCTATAAACAAGTATCCATATCTACTGTCAGATAATATACCAAGATTGATCTATCATCATTATTATTATTATTATTATTAATTTATTATTATTACTTTATTATTAGTATTATTATTATTATTGTATTTTTATTATTATTATTATTATTATTACTATTATTATTATTATTATTATTATTATTATTATTATTATTATTATCATCATCCTCACGGGGAAGCGGTAAACCCGTGAGGGGTCATCCAGCGCCTGGAAGACGAGAGGTAGTAAAGAGCAACAGCCAGTACCTTGGATCAAGATCCCTCCCCCAGACACACACACTAGCTGGGTCATCAGGGCCATATCAACCATCTCCTCCGAGGAAGAGGGGAATAAACGCCAAATATAAAACCAATATCCGAGTCCACGTTTGTGGTGATTTATATTAGTGTGTGTGTGTGTGTGTGTGTGTGTGTGTGTGTGTGTGTGTGTGTGTGTGTGTGTGTGTGTGTGGTGTGTGTGTGTGTGTGTGTGTGTGTGTGTGGGTGTGTGTGTGTGTGTGTGTGTGTGTTTTGTGTGTGTGTGTGTGTGTGTGTTGTGTGTGTGTGTGTGTGTGTGATGTGTGTTGTTGTGTGTGTGTGTGTGTGTGTGTTGTATTTGTGTGTGTTGTTTGTGTGTGTGTGTGTGTGTGTGTTGTGTGTGTGTGTGTGGGTGTGTTGTGTGTGTGTGTGTGTGTTGTGTGTAGTGTGTGTGTGTGTGTTGTGTGTGTGTGTTTTGTGTTGCAACCCCTGAAAGGGTTACAATGATTATTATGTTTATTAATGTATATCCCTTTTCATATTTAAATTTATTGCTTATATTTGCGATAATAGCTAAATTGTAAATGTATTGCTTATATTGTTATTTGACTTATGTTTTAGGATGTAACTATTAAGTGCTCAGTTCAAGCTTGATTGTCAAACTACTGTAATTATCGCTTGTCGCTCGTTTACTGCGGCTTCTGAGCTGTGCTGTCACGGAGTATCACGTGATCGGGGGGGGGTTGTCCTCACCTCGTCTGAAGTATTCATTGCTCTAGACTCTCTTGTGGGTTGGACAGATTGTCTGTTCATTATTTGTTAGTTCTGTAGAACTCTGTTCACAGAACATTGTATAGACTTCGTGATTTTCACGTTGTATGAGGTTATGTGTCGCTTAGACACTCTGAACATCTCAGTCCTGAGCTGTAACTTCTCACTTAACTTGTACTGGTATCTGTGTATTTTTCACAGTCCGGGATTTTTTTATGCTGAACTTAGATTCAGTAGTATGGGAGTTTTGTGACTTTTGTGCAGGATCTGCAGATGGTCCCTATTTTAGTGTCGTTATATTATCTCCTTGTTCTGATTCTGTGTCGCAGTTGGCTTGTTATATTGTTATTGGGCTTAGCATTCTTTTTATTGTTCAAGCAGACTGTTCTGGTTGCCAGTCGGTCAAGAAGTTAGTTTATTTGAGGACTTTGTCAGTCACTTGTTTAAGTCTAGTCGAGTCGTGAGACAGAGAACTACTTAGAGCACTTACACACATACACACTTACTTGTACATATTTGTAATATCTTATTAAATGTTAATGTACCAGACGGTACTTAAGAATTATAAATGTGATATGTGCTTTCAGCACAATAATATTGAACTCGAGAGATTGATTTTATTTTGATTGCTGTGATTAATTTAATTCGATAATATACCTCTAGACAACTTAATGATTAATAAATTTATTAAATTTTAATTTCTCTAGTTAGTAGCCTACCAGTTGTAATCCTGAAGCACTATTGAATAATACTGAATTTTAATGGATAATTGGACAAGGATACTGACTACTTGTTACGAAAACCCAGTAACAGGCTGGATGCTAGAAGGGCAGTCCTTTCTAGTATTACCTGGAGATCTCTAAGCTTTTAGAATCGCGTTTTTTGTAACAGTGTGTGTGTGTGTGTGTGTGTGTGTGTGTGTGTGTGTGTGTGTGTGTGTGTGTGTGTGTGTGTGTGTGTGTGTGTGTGTGTGTGAGTATATGTGTGTATATGTGTGTGGTGTGTGTTGTGTGTGTGTGTGTGTGTGTGTGTGTGTGTTGTGTGTGTGTGTGTGTGTGTGTGTGTGTGTATGTGTGTATGTGTGTATGTGTGTATGTGTGTATATGTGTGTGTGTGTGTGTGTGTGTGTGTGTGTGTGTGTGTGTGTGTGTGTGGTGTGTGTGTGTGTGTGTGTGTGTGTGAGTATATGTGTGTGTGTGTGTGTGTGTGTGTGTGTGTGTGTGTGTGTGTGTGTGTGTGTGTGTGTGTGTGTGTGTGTGTGTGTGTGTGTGTGTATGTGTGTATGTGTGTATGTGTGTATATGTGTGTGTGTGTGTGTGTGTGTGTGTGTGTGTGTGTGTGTGTGTGTGTGTGTGTGTGTGTGTGTGTGTGTGTGTGTGTGTGTGAGTATATGTGTATATGTGTGCGTGCGCGCGCGTGTGTGTGTGTGTGTGTGTGTGTGTGTGTGGTGTGTGTGTGGTGTGTGTGTGTGTGTGTGTGTGTGTGTGTGTGTGTGTGTGTGAGTATATGTGTGTATATGTGTACTCACCTATTTGTACTCACCTATTTGTGGTTGCAGGGGTCGATTCATAGCTCCTGGCCCCGCCTCTTCACTGATTGCTACTAGGTCCTCTCTCTCCCTGCTCCATGAGCTTTATCATACCTCGCCTTAAAACTATGTATGGTTCCCGCCTCCACTACTTCACTTTCTAGGCTATTCCACGGCTTGACTACTCTATAACTGAAGAAATACTTCCTAACATCCCTTTGATTCATCTGAGTCTTCAACTTCCAATTGTGACCTCTTGTGTCTGTGTCCCATCTCTGGAACATCCCGTCTTTGTCCACCTCGTCTATTCCGCGCAGTATTTTATATGTCGTTGTCATGTTTCCCCTGACCCTCCTGGCCTCCAGTGTCGTCAGGCCGATTTCCCTCAACCTTTCTTCGTAGGAAAATCCCCGTAGCTCTGGGACTAGTCTTGTTGCAAACCTTTGCACTTTCTCTAATTTCTTGACGTGCTTGACTAGGTGTGGATTCCAAACTGGTGCTGCATACTCCAGTATGGGCCTGACGTAAATGGTATACAGAGTCTTGAACGACTCCTTACTGAGGTATCGGAACGCTATCCGTAGGTTTGCCAGGCGCCCGTATGCTGCAGCAGTTATCTGATTGATGTGCGCCTCAGGAGATATGCTCGGTGTTATACTCACCCCCAGATCTTTTTCTTGAGTGAGGTTTGCAGACTTTGGCCATCTAAACTATATTGTGTCTGCGGTCTTCTTTGCCCTTCCCCAATCTTCATGACTTTGCATTTGGCGGGGTTAAACTCAAGGAGCCAGTTGCTGGACCAGGCTTGTAGCCTGTCCAGGTCTCTTTGTAGTCCTGCCTGAGCCTCATCCGATTTGATTCTTCTCATTAACTTCACATCGTCCGCAAACAAGGACACTTCTGAGTCTATCCCTTCCGTTATGTCATTCACATATACCAAGAACAGCACAGGTCCTAGGACTGACCCCTGTGGAACCCCGCTTGTCACAGGCGCCCACTCTGACACCTCGTCACGTACCATGACTCGTTGTTGCCTCCCTGTAAGGTATTCTCTTGTCCATTGCAGTGCCTTTCCTGTTATGTGTGCCTGATCCTCTAGCTTTTGCAGTAACCTCTTGTGAGGAACTGTGTCGAAGGCCTTCTTGCAGTCCAAAAAATGCAGTCGATCCACCCCTCTCTCTCTTGTCTTACTTCTGTCACCTTGTCATAAAACTCTAATAGGTTTGTGACACAGGATTTTCCCTCCCTGAAACCATGCTGGTTGTCAATTATACACTTGTTTCTTTCCAGGTGCTCCATCACTCTCCTCCTGATGATCTTCTCCATGACCTTGCATACTATACACGTTAATGATACAGGTCTGTAGTTTAGTGCCTCATGTCTATCTCCCTTTTTAAAAATTGGGACTACATTTGCCATCTTCCATACCTCAGGGAGTTGCCCAGTTTCAAATGATGTGTTGAAGATCTTCGTTAATGGTACACACAATGTCTCTGCTCCCTCTTTAAGGACCCACGGAGAGATGTTGTCTGGTCCCACCGCCTTTGAGGTGTCAAGTTCGCACAGTAGCTTCTTCACCTCCTCCTTGGTTATATGTATTTCATCCAGCACTTGCTGGTGCCCCCCCCCCCCCTGTTCTGATTTCCTGGAGTCTTACTGGTTTCCACTGTAAATACTTCTTTAAATCTCGTGTTGAGCTCCTGACATACCTCCCGGTCGTTTCTTGTGAATTCCCCATCACCCTTCCTCAGTCTGATTACCTGGTCTTTGACTGTTGTTTTCCTCCTGATGTGGCTGTACAACAGCTTCGGGTCAGTCTTGACTTTTGATGCTATGTCATTTTCATATTGTCGCTGAGCCTCCCTTCTTATCTGTGCATATTCGTTTCTGGCTCTTCGGCTAATCTCTTTATTTTCCTGAGTTCTCTATCTTCTGTACCTTTTCCATTCTCTAGTACACCTAGTTTTTGCCTCCCTACACCTTTGGGTGAACCAAGGACTCGTTCTGTTCTTCCCATTATTTCTGTTTCCCTTGGGAACAAACCTCCCTCTGCCTCCTGCATTTTGTTGCCGAGCATATACCAGGCATCATATCTTTATACTGGTTTTCCTGTCAGTTTCCCTCTCCCACTGAATGTCTTGAAAAGTAAGTTTCCTCATGCGCTGGTAGTTCCCATCCAGTTTAGTAGTTTGGATTTTCCCACCTATTCCTGCTACTCTCTCCACTTGTAGCTCAACTAGGTATCGAAGCACAGAACGCCACATGATCCTAGCTCCTCCAGGGGCCCTTTCAAACAATGATTTCCTCGAACGTCCGAACAACCAAGGTGAATACA